TAAGCTTATATCATATGCCAGACACTATGCTAGACTCTGTGAATATAAACACATAGTCCCTTCCTTCAGGAGCTAATACACTACTCATGGGAAAGAAGGTTGGATTACCAGATATCACCCCAGATTAATATTAAAATGCAATTAAATCTCACCATTCCTTATATGGAAGAATGCATCTCTCCATCTTTCTAAGATTGCAGGGTATAAAGGGGTTTGCAGTTTTCCAATTTTCCTTAGAAGCTAAACTCCTTCATCATCTGACCCAGACCAACATAACAGACTTTCTTATTGAAACACATCTTCTGGGTGGGGATTTAGCTCAGCGGTTCGGTGCCCTGCCTCACAAGGACCCGAGTTCGATCCCCGGTACCAAAAAAATAAACAAACAAACAAAAAAAACCAAAAGAAACACATCTTCCATTCTTCTCCACCAAACATGCCAAAGACATGGAAGACAACCTATTCCTTGAGTTCCACAGCCACGTATTCATTGAAAGCTCTGAGTTTACAGAGGGTTTCTCTCTCTTTTTTTCCTATCCAGGACATTGAATCCAAGGCTACTCATTGAGCTACAGCCCCAGCTCTCTTATTTTTTGAGACAGAGTCTTGCTAATTACTAAGTTGTCCAGGTTGAGCTTGAATTTGTGGTCCTTTGGCCTCAGCCTGCTAAGTGCTGAGATTATGGGCCTGCAGCATCATGTCTGGCTTTTGTCTAGTTACAAAGTTTCTCCTATAAGAGCATTATATCCTAATTCTAAAAAAATATTTTAAAGCTGCAAGTTTCAATAATCTGATGACTAGAGTTACAGAAGAATCTGTTACTCAAATTAGGTATCCTTAGAATCAACAATGTTTAGATGTCTTTAATACAGTTTAAGGACCGCAATGTGGAATTTTACTCATTTAAATTAATAAACATTTTGCCACCAAAGAAACAAGAAATATAGTTAATTGAAACATTTCTATTTCAGTAGAAATTTCAAATATGTTTATCTTGACTAGGTTTAGTCATGCATGGCTCTAATCCCATCTACTCAGGAGGCTGAGGCAGGAGGATCCCGAGTTTAAGACTAGCTTGGGCAATTCAGTGAGACACTGTCTTAAAAATAACCACTCAGGGCCAGGGATTTAGCTCAATGGTTCCACCGCCTGCCTCACAAGCACAAGGGCCCAAGTTCGATCCCCGGTACCAAAATAAAATAAAATAAAATAACCAATCAAACAAACAACAGGGCTGAGGCTGTAGCTTCGTGGTAGAGCACCTTTGTTTGCTTATTTGTTTTTTGTTTTTTTACTCTGGTACCAGGGGATCGAACTCAGGACCTTGAGTTTGCCAGGCAGGGCAGAGCCGCCGAGAGCACCTCTGGGTTTAATCTCCAGTATTAACTTTCTCAATCTCATACCCTCAAACAGCCTTATGTGTGCCCGTGCCTGTGCATACACAACTGTCACAGCTCATTATGACTGCACGGTCGGTAATCATCTCCTTCCCTGCCCCTACATAAGGATTTATTTTTCTATTGACAGAAACGATGCCAACTTATTCAAAGGCAAGAGCAGCAGTGGGGCAGGAGACCAGGCCGCCGCCGGCCGGCTGGGGAAGGGCGCGTGGCCTGTTCATTACAAAGCCCCAGGGGTGAACACAGAAAGCCTCCGAAAGCCCTGCACCTCCCTGCAGGGACTCTCCGGAGAACTGAAACAGTTGGATGGGCAGCTCAGACCTGGCCAGCCTGAGGATGGGAGACACACGGGGACGACGCCGCTGAGTGCTAGGCCACAGTGTTCTCTCTCTCACAGTAACTCCATCTCAGCTTCGCTTCTCTTCGTACTCTCACTTGGCCCACACTCGCCCTGCAGAGCATGTTTCTGTTTTCCACCTTTCATGCACATAAAACCTTGCTACCTTTTGGACTTGTTTTGTCCAATTCTTTGTTCAGGACAAGAAGAACCTAGAAACCAACTCTGGAAGCAGAGTCCAGCACCCCAAAACCCAGTAACAGATTTTGTTTTGTATTGCAGATGGAATCCAGGGCCTTTGTATCTAGCTCTGTCCCCAGCCCTTTTGGAGACAGTATCGTGCTAAGTCACTAAATTGCCCAAGCTGGGCTCCAACTTGCTATCTTGCAGCCTCTGACCCCCAGGGTACTGGAATTATAGGTGTGAGCCACCACATTAGGCTCAGTCTGGGTTTTAAATAAACCTCCAAGCTACATAAAGAAAGGAAGTGTTTGGGAATCCTTGCTTCGCTTTCCTCTCTCCCTCTCTCTCTCTCTCTCTGCTCTCCTTCTCCATCCCTCCTTCTGTCCCTCCCCACAGCCTCTCTCTCATTCTGAAAGCTGTTCCTGTAGGTGCTGCTTCACAGTCTGTGGTACGCCACAGTGAGCCTCCTGAATGGAGCCTAGGATCCCAGCCAATGAGGGAGAGCTTTGGGAGGGTGGCACCAGAGCGTAGCCTGCTCCTTAAACCAGAGACTATTACAAAAACTGGAGGAAAGATACTGGGATGATAAATCTCCTATCTTGCTGATAATCATCCCCCAATGTGGGGGGGGGTACTGGGGACTGAACTCAGGGCCTGTGCTTATGAGGCTGGCAGCGGCACTACTGAGCTAAATCCCCAGCCCAATTATTCCCCAACTTGATAACTACTCTTGCCCTTAAAAAGAAAGTGTGCCTGGCTTGTAAGTGCAAGGTCCTGAGTTTGATTTTTTTTTTTTTTTTTGGTACTAGGGACCTTGCACTTTTGAGGCAGGCAGTGGAACAACTGGGCTAAATCCCCAGCCCCTCAAGGTCCTGAGTTCGATCCCTAATCCTTAAAAAAAACCTGAAAAAAAAAAAGTATGGACGGGTATAATCCCAGCACTCAGGAGGCTCTGAGTTCAAGACCAGCCTAAGCTACACAATGAGTTCAAGGCCAGCCTGAACTACATAGGTAGACCCTGTCTCAAAGACAAGAGAGAAAGAAATTTACTTCTTTAGAATTTTTGGGAGACAGTCTTGCTATGTAGTCCAGGCTGGCTTTGAATTCACTACGTAGACCAGGCTCATGGTGATACTCCTGCCTCAGCCTCCTAAGTGCTGGGATTACAGGCATGTGCCACTATACCTGGATTTTTCTGTGAACTTCTAAAACTGTTTCCTTAACCAGGCATATGAAGAATGGGACTGAACAGGAGCCCAGGCCACTGAGCACACTGTACTGCAGGTTGTAAACTCCAATGCCACAGGGCTCGAATGAGCACTAAAGGCAAAGAAAATCTAGATGTCTCTGGACTAAAGGAGATAGCTGCTGCCAGGATACACTGTGAATCTGGGAATTCAGATCTTCCCACTTATTCATAGGATGCTGAAAATCCTTTTGGCCTTACCTGTTAGCAACTTATTTAAAAATTAAAATAGCATGTGAATCACTGGTTTGCAAACTCTGCCCATCCAAATAAGACAATGAGAGACTATATAAGAGGAGACACAGCCAGGTGTGGTGGTGTATGCCTTTAATTCCAATACTGGAATTTTGAGAGGCTGAAGCAGGAGAATTACAAGTTCAAGCCCAGCCTAGGCAATTAGACCTAGAGAGAAGTAGACTCAAATGTAAAAAAAGAAAAAAAAAATTTAAAGGGCTGGGGATGGAATGTAGCTCAGGGCAAAGACCCTGTGTTCAGTCACCATACAACACATGCACACAAAGAGCTGACACTGAAAATATACTGAGATTGTACCTATGACACTGTTTGTGATGCTGTTCAATAAAAAACAATTTAAATATTTATGACCATAGGGACTCCAAGTCAATTCCATTTGGTAGATTGTGCAGTTAAAACAAATAAAGTCCAGCCATAGATATCAGTGTTGATCGATTTAAAAAACAAGGGATGGAGATTTAGCGCAGCAGCACTGCACTTGCCTTGCAAGCGCAAGATCCTGTGTTTGATCCCTGGTACCAAAAACAAATAAAAAACAGAATTTGTTAAAAACAAACAAACAAAACACATACAAAAAAACCTGCACAGTAGTTCACAAAATACAGTAGAATTCATGTGAAATTTCTAAAGCTCAAAATCATTTTATATATTTATTTTTGAGGCAGAATCTCTCTATGTAGTTCAGGATAGCCTTAAACTCTCTACGTAATCCCGGCTGTCCTCGAACACGGCAGTCCTTCTGCCTCAGCCTCCTGAGTGCTGGGATTATAGGTGTGCACCACCACACACTGTTTACAAATACAAGGTAATAAGCAATATGTACATATAGAAACCTAGATTAGCAAGATGCATTTCCAATTCATGACCCCAGTTGCCTCTCAAAACGAGCTGTGTGGAACGGGGAATAGAGAGCACCTGACATTTCTGAAATGTGCTGTTTCATAAAAAATGTGAAATGGCAAAAAGTAACTCGTGTTCACTTTGCATAGTGGGGTTTAAGAGGGTTTGCTCTGAACGTTTTTAAAAAGACCAAAAAAAAAAAAATATATATATATATATGGAGGAAAGACATGGGCCTGTCGTACAGCACTTCTCTATCACCGTGAACCTGAAAATGCCCCCATGCTCACCCCGGGGAGGCTACCCAGGCCCGGGAATGAAGCACGGATTTCTTCTCTCATTCAGGATACAGCCTTCTCTCCCAACCCTTAATTCCTCCTCCAGGGAAGAATTGGCTGGAGACAGCTGGATCGCAGCCTAAGTCTCAGAGGCCTCGTTTGTAAAACGGAGATTTCAAATCAAAGCCAGCAACTGTAACGAGGTCTACAGATAAGGACGGAGAAGCGCCCTAACAGAGTAGCTATTAAAGGCAGTAGTAACAGAATCGTAAATTCGGGCTCACGTCCCAACAATACCACGCCTTCCGCAGTGACTTCTCATTTGAACTGGTTCCGCTTCAGAAAGGGCGGGCAAAAATTCCGGAACAATCAGGGAGCTGTCGCCATGGCGACGCCTAGCCCCGTCTCCACGCTGGCTCGAAGAGCATGCTGGGAGTTGTAGTGCAGCGGAGATGCTCAGGGAGGGAGGGGCCACTTCCGGTAGGGGCAATGTATTACCATTCCTACCTCCACAGCCATTCTTTATCGTTCTCCGCTTGTAGGTCACACAGCCTAAAGTTAAACGCTAGCCATGAATTCTCCTTTCCACGACCGTCACAGTTACACCTGAAGGCAGAGGTGGGGAAGTCATGCAGTGCCGAAGGCGCAGATCGCAGAAACTTCTGTCAAGCAGGAACCAGGGGCTTCCGCCCCGGGAAAGGAGGTTCCGCCTCTCACGTCACTTCCATAAACAAAGGGCGCTGCGGAGGCGCGGGTCGGGGGCTGTGAATCCCGCAGTAACTGCTGCTGTAGTGCTGCCTTCTGGAGCTCTTCGCTCCTTGCTGGTTGAGGAAAGGAACCTTGGCCTTCTTCTTCATCGGGTAGGTCGTGGAAGCAAAGGAACCCCCTCAACCTTCTCCTTTAGGCCCTTCCTAAAGGACTCACTATGGTCACTTTCTGGTTCTGGGCAGTGACAGGTCATCGCTTGTCAGATTGAGGGACCTCCTGGGGTCCTGCTTGGAAGAAGAACCTGGCCCTCAAAATCGGTGTGTCAGTAACCCTGAGCAGCTCACGCCTTCTCTAAAACGTTCCTTGCTTGCTAGGTATACAGGAAGGATTTCGGTGCCCTTGTGCCAGATGTTACTGTCTCAAACCAATAAATCTCGAGCCCTAAACCCCCGGAACAGCGTACTTTAGAAAACATTGGTTTAACTGAATGTTTTTAAAAAGTCGTGAATTTTCTAGCGCAATTTACAATCTGATAAAATTCCTCATTTTACAATACATGAATCAATGAAATTAAGAAGAACTTAACACTGTATACAAATAAAAAAATGTAGAAGGATATTTTTAGATAGATGACTTGAGAAAATAAAATTGGTTAATTCATGAAATAGGGGGAAGGTGTTGGGATAAATCGAAGGTCTTACTCGTATTCCCCATGGAAGGGACTTCTGTGACTTCACGGGACTGTTTTAATGCTGGCAAACAACATATAATTCATATTTTCTTACATAGGTAGAGGAATTATATTCAGATTAGACAAGAAGCAAATTTGATTTCATAGTACTTCATTTAATCTCAGAACTAGAGGTAGCAGTACTCTCTGCGTGAACTCAGTTTCTCCTTGGTGACATAACTCTTCTAGCTGCTGATGCTTCAACTGTTACACACATTTGAATCTGGTTTGTCCTTCCTGAGAGTACTACATTTTGGAAGAGACCTAATGGCCACGTAAAGGTTGAGTCAGGCTGAGATATTACATAGATGATTTGCTTCAAATATAAATACATATATATGTCATTTACCTCGGACAATGTCAGCTTCCCGAGGGAAGGGACTTTGTCTTATTCAGCGTTTCTCCAGTATTCACAATCGTGGCTGGCTCATGGAAGAGAGTCAGTGAATATTATTTAGGATGAGTGAATAAAGAAAATGGTATTTTAAAAAGTCTACCAGACAATTAAACTTAAGGAATTCTTCTAGCTTCATTTGATGCCCATTGAAATTCTTTGATCTCTTTCGTTTCGTGAAATGGATCTTCGTATCTCTTTCACTTTTGCATTTTATAGTACATATATGTGATTGTTGTATTTTCTTATTCAGATTTTAAGACGCTGCCCTTGGTGCAGCAGCAGTAAGGAACTCAGGACAATGGAAGAGCGGAAAGTGAAGAGGAGGAGCCCAAAGTCTTTTAGTGCCCACCCTACTCAGGTTGTTAATGCCAAAAAAAATGCCATTCCAGTAAGTAAAAGCACAGGGTTTTCAAATCCTGCATCACAGTCAACTTCACAGCGACCAAAGTTAAAAAGGTGAATTATTTTCTTTCACATTTTCACACTAAAGTACTATTAAATAGTAAATCAACTTTTTTGCTTGCAGTACTGGTGAATGAACCCAGAGCCTTGCTCAGGCTCGGCACTCAATACCACTGAGCTGCCTCCCCAGTCTTGAAGAATTTAGAACTTTCTGTGTCTTAGCTTGACTTTTTAAGCAAGAGTCATGAGTATTTCCTCTGAAAAAATATCAGAAAGCAAGTAGTTTTCCTCTTGGAAGAAGTGAATGAGATTTTGAATTAAGTTATACTTGGCAGAAAAAGACAAAAACTTTTAAAGGTGCTTATTACTTTCTTTAAATTCTTGATAGCAATCCCCTCTCCTTTTTGATACAGGGGATTGCACTGAGCTACCTGTGTCCTTAGCCCCCGCTGGCACATGTGCTGCAGCTGGCTATTTGTTGTCCTTGACAGCTCTAAAGGGTTTGCTATCACTGCCCTAGTCCTTTTAAAAATTTTCAATGAAATAAAACTCAGACTAAATGGGCAATCCTCCTGCCTCAGCCTCCTGAGATTACTCTTAAGATTACTCATTGTTGTTTTTGATAATTTTATTTCTATGTCCTCTTCTACCCTGTAAGATTCCTGTGGGCTGGGACCATGTATTGATTGTCATTGTATGGCTGACAGTATTTACAGTGGCATTTGCACATACTGTGATTTCATCGTGTGTGTTGTTATTGAGTTGTTTTAACATAAAGTAAGACAATGTGACATAACCAGAAGCAGTAAAGATGGAATAAACAGGATTTTACCTTTTGTTTGCATTTGCTTTTGTTGAGGGTGATAACAGATGTAAAACCCTTACTTGGATAAAACTTCCAAATTTGTTTGTTTTGGTCCTGGGGATCAAACTTGGGTCCTTGCACTTGCAAGGCAGGCAGCAGAACCACTGAGCTAAATCCCCGGCCCATTAAAACTTCCAAATTTGAAAGGAAAAATATATTTGCTATACTGAAGACTTACAGTCTATAATGGTTTCTCTCAGATTTTAATGTGAGTATGGATTTCTTGGGGATCTTTTTAGAATGCAGATTCTGAATCATGGGGCTTCAGATGAGCATTTCTGATAAGCTCCCTGGAGTCGCCTGGTGTCTGCTGGTTAGGGTCTAGTCCTCTGTTTCAGAAGCTCTTGGGTGAGGTTGGTGTTGCTGGGTCGTGGTCAGCGACCCCGCCCGCCTTCATGTACCATGACTTTTTAATCTGATCCTTTAGTAGGTATTTTTTTTTTAGCAAAAACATTTATTGGTACATTTTTGTACATAATGATCACATTCATCATAGGGAATTTGTACCAGTACATGATACAGCTTGCTTCTTTTTTTCCCCATTCTCTCCTCCTTATGAACAAAAGCTTTGATTCCATTTTTCCTTTGATTTTTTTTCTTGTCCCTTCTTCCCTTTTCCCCTCGACCCTCCCCTGTTCCCCCTCTCATTTGAACATTTTCATCCCATTTCCCCATTGTCTTTTGTGCATTTTAGTCCTTATTCCCACTTTGGGTTTCTCACGCCAGGGAAACGATGCGGTATTTACACATGTGTATCTGATTTATTTCACTTAAGAGTATGGTCTGGAAGTCCATCTATTTAGGGAGAAATGACTTAAGCTCATGTTTCTTTATGGCAGAGTAGTACTCTATAGTATTAAAAATACATCATCTTTATCCATTTATTAGTTGATGGGCATTTGTGTTGTTTCCAATATTTAGCTGTTGCAAACTGTGCTGCTATAAACACGGGTGTGTATATATTGCTGTGGTGTGATGCTTTTAATTCTTTCAGGAAGATACCAAGAAGGGGAATAGCTGGGTAAATGAAACCTCCGGTTTTCTTTGAGGTATCTCTGCACTGATTTCCACAGTGGTTGCACCAGTGTACCCTTCCACTAGCAGTGGAGGAGGGTTCCTCTTTCCCGTCAGCCCCTCCATGGTCTATATTCTTAAGTACTAAGGTACTAGATGATGGAATTTAACACCACATATAGAAAATGCAGACAGTATTTTGTGAAGAATTGTTACTCTCAACAGCCCGTGAATTCTAAATTTCTTGTTATTAGTTTTTTTCTTGTGCCTTGTCCCTTCCCTGGTCATCTGTTTATATATATATAATATTGCGTTTATCTTATTGTGAGTACAATTGTAGGAAGAGGTATCCATTTAGCATTATGTAATAATGGATTGAGCACTGAAGTGTGTGCGTGCGTGTGCACACGTATGTGTGTAGATCTGTAGCATGCCTTGAGTTATAAAGATGTCCCATTTTATCTGTTTAACCTGTGCTTGCTTCTTAAGCCTTTTGTTCCCCAGTATTAGGGAGTGAGCCTGGGGTATCACGCCAAGATATACCCCCAGCTCTTTTAATTTTGAGACAGGATCTGGATAAGTGACACAGGCTGGCCTCTTCTTCAAAGTCGTCCTGCCTCAGCCTCCTGAGTAGCTGGGATTATAGGCGTGTATCACCTTCCTGGCTGGCCCTGAACTGTGTGAACTGGTCTCTTGTTCCTGTAGTAATGTGCACAGCACACCACCAAACATGTCAGAGCCTGGTATACGATAGACGTGTAATAAGAACTAATTCGTCGGGTTCTGAAATGCCTTCCTGAGAAAAGCATTAAAGTGAGACTTGGAGGGTGTGTATGAAGCAGCCTGGCAGAGGCAGTGAGAAGTGGAAGGATGCAAATGTGGGTGGAAAATTCACGTGTAAGAACATACGGAGTTTCTAGAAAATTAAAGATTGAGAATGCCCAAGGGGCAGACAAGGGAAGATGGGGTTTCGTAAGGATATCACACTCTCCGGCAGCCAGTACAAAGCTAGTGAAGGGCTTAAAGTAAATTATTATATGATCTGATTTTGTTTTTTTAGAAATGGATCTGGCTGCCTTGCGAGGGAAGGGGCAGCAGAGACCATACCCAGAGGCAGAGAGAGTGGCCGGAAAGCCGTTGGAGACTTTAGGTCAGGAGCTAGCTTTATGGCAGTGCAAAGGAGAGAACCTGGGAGATGAGCTTATTTATGGGTGTCGTCAGTACGAGTTCGGGCTGCATGTGCCTTAGGAGATGGCATGAGTCTCGGATGCTAAAGGTGTCTGGCATTCCGTCACATGGTAAGGAATTTAAATGGCTTCCTTTCTCCTTAAACTGGGCATCCCTGGCATAATATCCACTACAGGATGAGGACCCATATTCATGTGGGGGAACCCCTTGTAGTTCAAAGATCAAACAAAATAAAGCTCAAAAGGGAAAGATGTGAGATAACGAAACATAATAAAAAGACTGAAGCATTTACAGTTTTTCTCAGTCCGAAGGTTTAGCATATTATATAAATATTTGAGTCAAACTTTGTCTGTGTCTTTTTTACTTTCAGACAGGGTCTCTCGGGGTAGTTCAACTCACTATGTGGCCCAGGCTGGCCTTGAACCTGCAGTGGTCTTCCTGTTAGCAGGGTTCTGAGATGCTGTGGTTTCCAGAGATTCTTAACAGGTTCTTGATGTCCTGAGCAAAGAATTGGACAAAACATGCAAAAAACTGGCATGGTTTTGCATCCATTAAAGGCAGAAAAAGAAGCATGTTCTACCGAGTAAGTGCAAGCCAATTTAGGGGGGCAAATGCTCTACAGAGATCAGAGAGGGCTACTGAAAGAGCTTCCAGCGGCCATGAGCTTAACAGGCCTGACTTTTGTACCCCCATTCTGATGTTGGGTCTAGGTTGTCCTACCAGAAACTTGCTTGACCTCATGCCAGAAGAACTGGAGGTGGCACTTTCTAATTGGCCTCAAGTGCAGGGCTGGGGAGCACATGCCCTGGCTGTGATTGACAGGTCACACCCTAATGTCGCCCACTCACCCAGCCAACTGATCACGCCCTAACCTCCTTCCTCATTTCTGCCTGAGACGTAAAATCCCTAATTGTGTGGGATGCCGAGCCTGTGGCAGTTTCTCTTCATATAGCTTCTTCCGGTTGGTAGGAGTTATCGACCCTACGTACTGGGGATTATGTTCTCTCCATCTGCCTGCAATATTGTGGCTCACTGGCTGGGTTGGAAAAAAAAACATCAGAAGACAATAAAAGAGGAGTCAGTGTTTATATGTGAAGAAATGTAGAGCTGCCTGCTCAATGGGAGAAAGCTTGGTGAATTTGTCAGGAGCATGATGGGGTGTACCTACCGTCGAAAGACTTGAATGGATAAACTTGACTATTAGGTTGGGAATGCAGAACCCAGAAGTGAGCTAAGAATATGTCCAGGTCTGTCTAAAAAGACAGACTGTGACAAATCCAACAATGAGGGACATTAAGTTTCATTTTCGTGCTTCTTGTGGAGGAGAAAATTTAAATTGTAGTGGATTAGGGGTTACTACTAACTACTCATGTGTACCTGGAGCAGTACTGGAGTCTTGTTTTTGGAAGAGGAGCCTTAGGTCTTTCAGAGGTGCACAGAAGTAGCTTTCGTCTTTTGAGTGAAGAAGTAGCTCTCATCTTTTTTCTTCACACAGTTCAGGTGGGGCTAACTTTGAATGTAGCTGTCTCTGCCACCTTTACCATGGTGGATGTGGCAAGGGCCACTGAAAAGGAGTCTGTCCATTTTTGGTTTTAACTGGTCTGCAGCTCAGTTTTTGCAAAGAAGTCTCTTCTTTGCAAGTTTTATAACTTTTTTTTTCTGGTACCGGGGATGGAACTCAGGACCTTCCACTTGCCAGGCAGGCACAGTGCCACTGAGCTACAGCCCCAGCCCCCTTCTTTGTAAGTTTTAATGAGCACTTGGCCTACGGGCTGGACACTAGGTCCTCCTGGACCAGGAGCTGGCAGGTCTTTGTTTCCATATAGTCAGATAGCCTGTTGTACTTGGCCCAAATTAATCAGTATTTAGGGGGTGAAGGGAGGGCAGGGACAAGGGAAAAAATGAGAACCAAGACCTGTCATGTAAAGGTACAAGATCCCAATGATGAATGTAACTGTACTGTATATCTAAAATGTGCCTATAAACTCAATGAAAGAGAGGAAAAAAAAGAACAAATTAATCAGTATTTGTTTAAATCCCCACATGGTGCATGTGGGTGAAGTCTATTTACCAGTCCTCCCAGGTGTGCCCTGTACTCTGTGCAGATTCTAACAAAGGAAGTGGTCTGGGCTTGCCAACCTGTCAGGTGGTACCACTAGTCCTACCCTGTGAAAATCTAAGTGACCATTTTTCCATGTAGGATCTCTTCCCATAAAGAAAGAATCATGAAGAGATTTTATAGTTTTCCACTGTGTCTTTTGAAGAAGGACCAGGTTGTGTTGGAAAAACCACCAAAGCCCCCTTTTAATTCCTCTCGTCCTAAGGCCCATTTAACTTCCTGGGGGCATGGATTACTTTTAATGATCCCTCAGGAACTTGGAATAAGGCCAGGGTCTTGAGATGCTGCAAGGTTGCCCTTCTTGCCTCTGTCAGCCTTTTGGTTTTCCAAAGACACTTTAGACATGTCTGGTGTCCCTTGTAGTGAATGACAGTGACCTGCCTGGGAATCTGAGCTGCCTTCAGGAGGTGTAGAATTTTCTGCTTGTTCTTTATCCACCAGAGTGTGGATTGGGATTATAGCATTCTTAATGAAGCAGAGTCATGCACCATCCTGTGTCTCCTGCAGGCTTTACTACAGGAAGAGTGGGAGTATTGCAAGAGGAGTGGCAAGGCCACAGAAGGCCATGTTTGAGAAACCTGTCTATGAGCGGCTGGAGGCCTTACAGTCCTCTTCTTTCATACTGCTTTCATTTGGGAAAATGGCTGGGAATCTTTTGGTTTTATAACTACTGGCATTGCTGAATTTGCCCTCCTAGGTTTTCCTTTAGACCATGCAGCAGGATCTACCTGTAGGTCAGGGAGGCCTGACATAGTCCCAGTAGGTGAAATCTGCTTTGGCCTTTGCTGGAATTTGAGAATTCTCCCAGTTTTGCTAGTAACGGAGCAAGATAGTTGGACAATTAAAAGTCATGGTTGAGCTGGGGATGTAGCTCAGTGGTGCTGTGCCTGCCTGGCAAAGCACAAGGTCCTGAGTTTGATCCATGGTACCAAACCAAACCAAACCAAACCAAAACCATGTTGGATATGTGACCTTCTAACTGACATGTCAGAACAGGTGTAAAGAAGCTCCAACTAGGGCTCTCTTCAACCCCAATTATGGCTATAGAGCTAGAGGAAGGTTTTGCAGAGAAGGAAGTTGAAAGATAGTAAGCCACTTTTGTATCTCTAAGGAACTAAAGTTGCTTGCCCGCAGTGTTCAGGATCACCAGGGAACCTCACAGGAGATGGACAGGTCTAGAGCAGGGGTATTGTAGATAGCGCCGAGCCCTGTAATCCTCATCAGAGCAGGAAGTGAGGGTTCTGGCTTGCCTAGCCCCTCTCTGGGAACAGGCCAGTCAATCCTGTAGTGGGCTGTCTGACACAGAGCATGGCCTGGGTGGTGGCTTGGTACAGTCATGTGCCCAGTGTCCAGTTTCCTTGCATTTAAAGTAGGAGCTCAGCCTGATTGGCCTTGAGTTTTCCCTTGGATGACTTGGTGTGCTTACAGCATTGCTGATTGTGACAGCCCTAATTTTGGCCTTTTTCTCTGCCCTTCTTTCATCTTCATCTTCATCCCAATTGTTGAACACAGAAAAGGTTAGTGTGGTGCAGTTGGTTTTTAGGGGCCTGAGGCACAGCAAGTGGCCAAGATAAATTAGACATCTCACCGTGATAAGTCAAAAGCAAGGGTCAAAGTCAGAACCCATCTGCAGACCTACCAGGATCTTCTAAAACTCAGCCTAACCCTTCTTTCCATTGCTGGGTATCTGCCACTGAAAAAGGAACCTGGACTCTACTAGTCCCTTCTACTCGGTGGTCCCTCTCTTAGGAGCAAGATGAGCTGTGAGTTGGAAGAGTAAGAAACTCTGTTCCAAGTATGTCCTGTGGGGATAAAAGCTGCCTGAGGAACACGAGGAGGGGCCTGGGGAATACAGGGTCTCTTTGGGGAGCTGGCCTCTGGTGGAGTTCCTGAGTCGTTTGAAGATAGAGCTGATTTCCTGGCTTGAGGATTTTAAAGAGATCAAGGAGACCACAGAGTGTGGCTGTTTTCATTAAACAGTTGGGAGAGACCGAGAGATAGGTGGGCATCTGAGGACAGGGTCAATGATATCAATTCCCTCTTCCTTAGGGGCCTCTTTAATTGCTATAATTCTTGGGCATTTATGGAGATAAAGAGCCATAAAAACCTGAACATAAAGGATTTCACACCACTTTCCTTGCCTTTTGCAAAAAAAATCTAACCAAAGAATAGAATAATTTGCACTGCTGTTCTGTACCGTTTTTCACTGTTTCCTAGTTTATACTGGACCCAAACAGTATTGCAATAGAATTGTTCTTTTTCAGATTGTCAGGGTCAAATTGTTCTCTCTCCCCACCTCCTCTCTTTGGTGGGGGGTACTGGGGATCGAACTCAGGACCTTGTGCTTTCGAGGCAGGCAGTGAAACCACTGAGCTAAATCCCCAGCCCAAAGTGTTGTCATTTTTGGGAGAGGTCTCTGTGATCTGCAGGGTGTTCTCCATGGTGTGTCATGGGCCTATGGAGAGAGGGAGAGGACTAGGTCTGGATCCCTCAGATGATATCCCCTACCGGAGGGTGCAGACCTGTTGAGTCCCCAAGGAGAACTCTGTGAGACTCAAGCACTAGCAGGTGTCTCTGGTGAAGTGGCACCAGGGCCTTCCTGTCCTCCAACCTCCACCCCCAAAACTCACCATACTCTGTGGCCCATTATGACTCCTTAGAGAAAAGGTGGACCTCCCTAGGGGAGCTCCAACTAGCTATTTGAGAAACAGTAAACTCCTAAAAGATGTTCTAAGTACAAGGACAGGGTTTGTTATCTATTAACTTTAGCTCTGCTTTTGTTGACTTGACCATTACTGTCTTATTTCCTTTGTCCTGCTCAGGCCCTCAGGTGAATGTTTCTAGATGACTTGAATTCCCATTAGAAGAAACAGGGAGGAGCTCTAACCCTAACCCAACAGAAGAGAAGAGGGAAGGAGTCTCGTGTTACCTGAAAGCAGAGGCTTAGATTTAACAAACATGGTGGAACCACATGGACTGGGGTGGCAACCTGAAAAAGTGACTCACTGAGGGTACCCAGAGATGAGAGACTTTGTAGGGAAAAGCACAGATGAAACTCTGAGCACAGAAAGAGGCCAGTTGGGGTAGGCAGCTACTCAGACAGGGTCCCAGAGCAGTAAGAAAGCTGAATGGGCTTCCAAGCAACCACAGAGGATGCTATAGGGTCCCATAGGTGCCCTCTGGCCCACCTCCCTGGGGCAGAGCCCCATATACACTTTAGGCCTTGGCCAGGGAGGCGGAGAGATGTGGGGGAGAGGGACTCCTCACCTTCTACTAATTTTTTCTCACCTATAAACAAAGCAAAACCACTCTTACCTCCTGGTGGCTTCACCGAAACTACATTACCAGGGTTCTGGGAAGATGTGGTTTCCAGGGATTCTTTCCAGGTTTTGGAATCCTGAGCAAAACAGTTGAAAAAGGTAGCAAGGTTTAAATTTATTAAAGTTAGGAAAAGAAGTATGCTCTGCAGAGCGAAGAGAGGGCCACTGAAAGATTCTGGTGCCATGAGTTTAATAGCAGGCATCTTTTATATGCCCTGCTCTGACACAGATCTGGGCCTTTCTATCAAAAACCTCAATCTCACGTCAGAATTGAAAGCGTTTTCCTATTGGTCCCAGGTGCAGGGCTTGGGCGCATATTCCTGGATCTCTGTGATTGACAGGTCACACCCTAGTCTTGCCCACTTGTCCAGCCAGCTAACCAGGCCCTGATCTCCCGTATCACTCCTGTCTCAGCCTCCCTTAGGCTGGGATTACAGGTGTGCACCACCACGCCTGGCTTCTCTTCATTTTTTATTTTTTTGGTTTCTAGATTGAGGATACTGATTTTATTTAGTATTGACTTTTAAAAAATTTCTCGTTCTTAAGGGAAGCTTTGCTTAATCCACTAAAAACTTAAGCAAAACCTTAACCTAGAATAGCAAGAGCACTAACTCAAGTTCATTGTGTCGTCCTCACAGAGTGGCGAAAGAGAAGACCAAACCTCAGACTGGGGAAGGGAAGGGAGCTCAGTCGACTCCAATCCAGCACTCCTTCCTCACTGACGTCTCAGATGTGCAGGAGATGGAGCGAGGGCTCCTTAGTCTTTTGAATGATTTCCATTCAGGAAAGCTTCAAGCCTTTGGTAGGTGCTGAATGTTTCTCTTTACTACATGTGGTTTTATTTTTTGTTTGCTTGTTTTTTGAGATAGGTTCTCACTGTGTAGTTCAGGCTAGTCTCACACCCACGGTCTTCCTCAGCCTTCTGAGTGCTAAGATTACAGGTGTGCACCACCATGCCTAGCTGCTGTTCCTCTTTATCCTTTTCTTGAAAAAAAAATTATTAAAGAGACCATAGGCATAAATTGTAACTGTACAAGATTTCTCGTGGAAGATGATTTTTTGCCATCCAAAGCTTCTGGGGAAAGCTTTTTTGTTTTGTTTTGTTTTTTGAGACATGGTCTCATTTTGTATTTCAGGTTCAAGCTTGAACCTTGAACTCATGGCAGCCCCCCTGCCTCAGCCTCCTGAGTGCTGGGATTAGTGTTGTGCAGCACCATACCCAGATGAGAAAAGCTGTTTAAAAAGGGAAGTTGACTTAGGCACAGTGACATATGCCTATGTTCTGTAGTCCTAGCTATTTAGGATGCTGAGGCAGGAGGATTTCTTGAAGCCAGACTGGGCTTCATAGTGAGTTCAAGGCCATCTTGGACTACATAGTGAGACCCTGTGTCCAAAAAAAAAGGAAAAGAAAAAAAATGTTCAACATCACTGGCCACTTGAGAAATGCAAATTAAAACAATAAGATTCCATCTCACTGCTGACAGAATGCTATCAACCAATAACAAATGCTGATGAGGCTGTGGGGAAAAAAATACCCTTCTTCATTTTTGGTGGGAGTGTCTCAAAAAAAAGGAAAAGAAAAGGGACAGTCTTCATCAGTTAAAATATTTTAGACCTAGTGTATTAGTTTTTGTTTTAAAATCTCAATATCATTTCCATTTAACCTTTTTAAAGTCATTTGTTTTTTGTCCAGGGTGATTGACTTTCAAATATTGAAAAAATCTTGTTTGTTTATTTTTAATGAAGATATAAGAATAGTCAGCTGGTTGTTACATAAAAACTCTGAGTAGCTATTTTTACTGTTCATAGACTTCACAAAGTATACGGTTAGATTTTTTAAATTTTACTTTGCAGTGCCCTTTATAACCCTTCTCTAATGATGAATTTATTTTCCGGTATAATTTCAAACCAGTTGAGCACACACAGAGGCGTTTACCCCAGAGCATAAATGTCGCAGGTGGCCATATTGTGCACGTGTTGACTGCAGCCATCTTTCCCTGCCCTGCATTTTTGTTGCTTCACTTCCTGGTCTGCTACTTCTGCCTCTCCTCAGCTCGTGGTGAATGGTGCAAACAGTGTGATCCTCATGATGTAAACACAAACATGCACACACACACACACACACACACACACAGGTTTGGGCTTCATTTTTGACACAGATGGGAACTTATTTGTGTTTATGCACTATTTTACTGACCTCTCATAGACACCTCACAATTCTTCCTGGCCAATGTAACTTTCCATGCTGAAATATTATTCACTGAGACAAATCTATAAACAATGTTTTAATGCAGTGCCCACATTTCTCTCTGACGTATCCACCGGTGAACATTACCTTTGGACAGCAAAATCAGATTACAGATATGGGATAAATACAATCATTGAGAGAGTCACACTTACATCTTAGTTACAGACAAAAATGGGCAGGGTACCATAGAGTACAAAGCCTTAACGCTGGAGGACTCTTGAGTCCTGAGAAACTGCGGGTGGGAAATACGTAGTACACACCCATCACACAGTGGATTGGTCCACACAGCAGAGATCATTCTGCCCATGCATTCAGATGACTGCTGCTGTTTTCCAGCGCTAAAAATCAGATTCAAAGTCAGTCATTGCTCAGCAAACTAATGATACTACAAGTCAAAATATGATTTAAATCTGGAAAGCTTAAGGTAAAGTACACCTGTTACTCCTAACGTAATTGAGACTAAGCTCTGGCAACCAGGTACACTTTCCTTTTTTTTTGGTACCTGGAATCGAGCTGGGGACCTTGCACTTGCAAGGCAGGCAGCACCACCAGCGAGCTAAATCCCCAGTCCTACACTTTCTGATTAAAAACAAAATCAGATTAATACTGTGCACATATAATTTCAGTCATTATATATATTTATTAGTTTTTAATGGTGCAAAGCTTATGCTGAAAAATGAATGTAACAGTCCACCAAAATGGTTACATTTAATTTTCTTTTAAAGGCAGATGAACTAAATTTAAGAACTAGCTTTTCTTGGTATTTCATTTTAAAATTATGGATACATATTTACCAGAGAAATAATTATACATTCTGCCCAACATGAAATAGTTTCTGCCAAAGGTTTTTAAGATAAATGCATTTCTTGTTCAACTTCCAAAAAGTAAATAATGGTTCTCTTAACTGAAGGCATTTATGTTCCTACAGTTCTAAGATAAACATTTTAAAAGAAACTGCAAAAAATTATCTCTTGGCTTTTGAGTAGCCCACTTAGTTATAGAAAGTATTTCCTGTTCCAATACTTTTTCAATTTCTAAAGATATTTACTTCCTACAAATAGGACAAACAGAAACTTCCTTTCAAACTGTCAGTCTGTTTCCATGGTAACACCAAGGGTCTCCTTGGCTACCATATGTGGCATCAGCTGACTGGAGCCTCTTGATTGTCTTTACATCTTGAGCTTCATCAGTTTGGTACACCAGACAAATTAAATCATCTGTTACTTTTATACACAAATTCCCATCAGTGTGTCTGTATTTGAGACCACACTACCTTCTTGGGGTCTGGAGGTGGAGCTTCTGGACGGCGTGGGACCTCCTCCCCGATCTGGTGCTGCAGGCCCTGGACCCAGGCTGCAGGCCCAGGACAGCGGCCATAGATGGTGCCTCATCTGCATTGTTCTGCATCTCGCTTTCTTCCCTTCATTAAACAATATTAGTGGAAATCTCTGCAAGTTATCTGGTCTAGCTCTTTTCATGACTACATAGGTAATGTTCTTAGTTGTAAATATACTAGTTTATTTCAGTAATTCCCATATTAAAGAATACTGTTTTCAGCTTTGAGCCACTAAATGTAACCATGTAGTGAACACGTTTTGCTTTGCTTTGCTTTCCTTTATTTAGTGTGAGGCAGGTCTTGCTGTGTTGCTAAGGTTGGCCTTGAAATTTGATCCTCCTGCCTCAGCATCCCAGGTAGCTGGGATTACAGGTGTGCGCCACTGTATATATATATAT